ACAACTTTGTTCACCTTTCAAGCCAATGCTGAAAGCCAAGCTGTTGTTTCTCCCATCAAAAAGCAACGTTCAATCAACAAACGGAAATCGAAACGAATTTGGTTGTTTTGAAAGTAATAAAAGCAGCACTGTAGGCCTGTACCTGTAAACTAACTTTCACGATTTTGAGATCTTTTCATACGCATCGTTCGAAATTAGCTACTATTCAGAAATTGTATCGATTTGCCAACACTGCCACCATATATGTGTCAAATCGGAGTGAGACGTGGAACCGAAAAAATAAGCTTTTCTTCTTTCATAACGTTGCCTAATAAGTGTTGATAATCATTCTTTGCATTTTTCAGTTGATTTCCTTAAATCTCAATTTCATTACATCTTTTGTATTCAACTTTCTCTAAATAAAAAATTTCAACACCTTGTTTTTCTTTATTTACATATGATTTCAGATTAAGGGGCTTCACGTTTAACGTCACGTTTAACGAAACGTTGTGAGAAGAGAGAAGTAAATATAGAATTTATAATAAGATATGTAGTAGCATTTGGACTTTAATTGAATTTGAAAATTTTGAAGGCATTTAAAGGAGTAAATTTAAAAGCATAGTTGGAAAAGAAGCTCTCTACGTTTTCAGGTTCCCTGCAGAGGAAAGAAGGAAGATTTTACAAATTTTGAGCATATTTCGAAATTTCCCAATTTTTGAGGTTATATTCGATTTTTGTAATCCTCCAATGTATTGCGGGCTTACGAATAGTCAAGTAGTATCAAGTGGGCAGACCTAGGTTTCGATTCTCAATGCGATAGACAATATTTTAATAACGAACTGTGTACGGTGAGTGCTCAGTTGCTCGGGGCACTTACAAAACACTTACCAATCAAAAAAATTGCTTGACTAAAGGGAGAATAGTGAGCAATAAATTTTTAATGAGTTTTTCTGCCCATGGAATGCATACTTATTTTATGAGTTTGTTTGTTTGTTTGTTTATCGGGTTAATCCACATCTTCTGCGTTAATGTTTAAAATATATATAAACATTGGATATATACCGCGGACCTTGATACCAAGATTAGGAATCCCATCAGCAGGTGACATCGGCATACATGTTCTTATTATTTTTGTCACTCACCCGACCTTCATATTATTTTCTTATAGACCACTTAACCTCTTATACTTTGATGATGCAAAAGATGGAAGTGCATTTGTGTGCAAGTCACTCCCCGCTTGTTCCGCATTTCGAAGGAAATAAGTTACCGATTTAAAAAAATTACATTAACTTAGCGCCGGTTGACCATTGTCTTACAGCTTCACCTCATAAATAATTGTCGTACCATAAACCGGCAGCACTTTGGCTACGTTGAGCATCTTCGTACACCATTCGCTCATAAAAACTTACTTGGATAAAATACATATTAAGTTATCGCTTTTGCTTAATAGATAAACTTTACTTCATTTTTTTGAAAAAAAAAAACTCGTTCATTTCTATGCCGCTCTTCGTTTATCTATTTGCGAAAAAAATACTGCCTTTAAATTGCGTTAATTAATATTCGTTACGAAACTTAAGTGATATGTGGTAACAGTTTCGAAAACAATTTTTTAAGTAGTTTGTGTTAACAAGTAGCGAAGCGGCAAAATTTTAGACGCCATCAAAAAACAATTTTATGCACTTTACGAGGTACTCAAAAATATTTTAGCCGCTTCTCATTATTTAAATATGAAAAAAAGGAATTCTGTGTTTATAGAACGTCAAAATACACTGTCGTGGGCCATTGCTCCACAATTAAATATCGTATAGGTATTCACATAACGCCTTTTCAAAACGAGCCGTTCTATGGAAAGTGGTCGAAAAAGTGCTTCAACCCGAACTATTTTTCAATAGCGTTCGTCGTTTGACTAAAACATGCCAATGTATTAAATTTCATCGAAATATTTTGAAAATTTCGACGTGAACACAAATATGCAAAATGAACGACAGGTGGACAGGTGGATAGTATGCGCAGACAGACTTAGATCGACTGAATAGATGGTTACAATAAAGAGTTGACGTCTCTGTCAAGTCCTCGTTCCACAAGGTGTGGGTGAATCAATCAAATATCATGTGTATATAGGCGAGTTACAATTTTCAAATTGTCAACCTCAGGCATTCAACTGCAGAATCTTCCGTTTAAGCTACATTTGAAATGTTAAAAGCTAATTCAGCGAATGCTCAGCACAATTTGCAAGAACAAGAAGAAGGCATGCTTTCCGTTGTACAACCATCAACATATTTGGATGTAGAACTTTTAAAAGTTCCCTGCAAATATACCGTGCAACTATATACTATTCTATGACTAGATATGGCCAATGACGTCATTCAAAATTGATTGTCAAGTCTGAAAAGCCTAAGGGCGTCTTAATGAGCTTAAGTACACTTAAGAATCCAGTGTTATTACTCAAATGTTGAGTAGGAAAAGGTAAGGAGGAGGAGGTAATTATCAAATACAATAACATGAAGCTTAGTTGAGGATTAATTTAACCAGTTAACTATGTATAAGGAATACATGCACCATGTCCTTCTTCGATTTCCCCATACAATTCTTTTGTTAAATCCTTTCATTATAATGACCTACACTTCATATTACGCTTACTCTTGTGTTTGACGCACCAAAGCCATTCATTGTTGACAAAGCAAAAAAATCCCGTTCCTCAATCACAGCCATCCAACTTTGCCATACGATATATCGTTACCGTCGAATATTAACTGAAAGACAAATCTGCCTAATCGACTAACACGTTACATGCGAAAATCGGCCGACATCCTCTTAGCTGCCTAATATATTATACTCTAGATGAACAATAAAAAGTCTCAAGTTTTAACATGTTCTTGTAAAAAAAAAAAAAAATTAAAATATGAAATCTTTATTTATGATTTGTTTTCCTCTTTTTTTTTTCTCATTCACTGTCAGCCATAAAACTGGCGTCTTAATAAACGAGAAGAAGAAATGTCAAGCGATTTGTTTTAACTTGATTTTCATCTCGAGTGTGCATACGATACTATTTTTGTTTTTTGCTTTACTTTTCTCTTCCATTTTTTTTTTTTTTTTTTTTTTTTTTTTTACGTTTTGAAATGTGTTTTTATTTTGCGCAATTTTACATACATACTACAATATATGTTTTTGAATTTCGTGTTTTCTTCGTTTACTTTTGCTCTTTTACTTTTAAAATAATTAACAAAACATATACAGTTAGTTAGCTGAGAGAGAATATTTCGTCGCTTTGTACAATGTTTTTTCTTTCTGATAAAAATTAGGAACATTTTTTAAAATTTAAAAAAAAAAATTTCTTTTTCTTTTCCTTTTTTGTGTGTGGATAACAGATATAAATTGTGAGTAGGAAATAAGCGGGAGGAAAATCAAAATAAAAACATATATATATATGTAGATATATAATTTTTCTTTTTACTCAATTAATATGCGTTCTTAATTTTAATACTTATTCTAAATTTGCTTTCGTATTAAATGTAAAAAAAAATGTTTTTTTTTATCTTGTATAAAGTTTTTCAAAAATAAAGAAAAAGCGAACGCAAAAAAGCCAAATTGTACACTTAATAAATTGTGAAGGTGATGTTTCGAGAGCAAAGAATAAGAGATAGACTTTTATTTTTAAAGGAAACCATAATGAACAATTTAATTTATTTATTGGATGCGTAAAGCAAAAGGCTTCTTTTAAAAATCACAGCAAAAAATCAGTACATTTTCTTTTAAAACTATTTCAAATAAATTGGTTATTACAGCAAAGTAATTTGTTTCAGTGTACACACAAAGCAGCTTTCTTTTGTTTTTTGTTTTTACTTTTTTTCGTATTATTTAATACAATTGAAAAATGTAATAATAATAATAAAAAAAAAAAAAAAGTAAGAATGTTATAGACGGCAAAAGACCTATCATTTCACACCCTACGCTTTCGAAGTCTCCTATTTTTTTTTTTCTTTTTTTTTTTTTAAGCTAATCAAAGTATATCGTAAGTTTCGGGAAGGGGCAGTAATAGAGTTTCGTTAAAGAATCCGCAGGAAAGCAAAAATTTTCGTTCACAGCCTTAATTTATGGCTCGACCAAATATTTGCGCTGTCGACCAATTGCTTGTTTGTCACACATAAATCTTGGATACATTTCGAATTTTAGTTCATTTTCGATGCGAGATTGTTAACTAAGCGTACATCTTCTCTCATCTCATCTCATATCTCAAAAATAAAAAAAGCTACTTTCGCTTTCGAATTGCTTTAAACGCTTTGCGAAAGTAGCTTCTCTTTCTGGACTTCCTTTTCACGAAAGTTTTTGCTTAAGACTTGACTTTTTTTTTGTTTCAGATTGCATTAGGATGGCGTGTTCTATGCCTAAAGCAGATTTGGTTACGTCAACTCCTTCGGGGTTGCGGTAAGGGATTCCTGTTTTTCTTCTTTTTTTTTTTCAAAAGATTGTTGAAAAAGAATTTTTCATACATATCGTTGTGGGGATAACGAAGGCAACAAAAATAGAATTATGGAAAAGTGATCGATCTTAGCTAAATAGAAGTAAAAACTGCTTTAGATCGACAGTTACAGATAGGAATTATCACCAAATAAAATTCGAAAGTTCTTCCCTAGTTTAGCCGCCCATAAGGTTATGCTTATATCCTTTTTGGTATTATATTCTGATTCTGAAACGACCACTTTTACCGTAAAAAAGTTGATTTATAACATTTTTTTTTTTTTTTCATCTAATAGTTGGAAACATCTGAATATGGTTAGTACCCTTCTTTTCTTCTTACCGTTGGTGGTAATAAATATTTAAATTAAATTAAATTTAAAAATTATAGTCATTTTACATGCACACACATTCACTTACTTTAAACATTTACACACTTGCACTCACCCATTCATTATTCATTCATACCTTCCCCCCCTCTCTATCACTTATAAGAACTTAAATATCTATTTTTTGTTTTTTTTTTTTTTTTTTTTTTTTTGCTTTTTTCTTTTATAAATATTTTCCAAAAAAAAAAAAAAGACTGGATCCATTCATACAAAAATTGTTACAAAAATATTATTACGTTAAAGTATATATACAACATGAAATATAGAAACGCGGGTATATTCACAAGGTCGACGAAAACCGTCGATGATGTTGCTAATGATGTTGATGATGGCGATGGTGAAATTTATCTCATTGAAAAATGGACCAGTTTCTGAGATCTTTACGCACTTTCCACAGCATTAATTCGAGGCAGGCTCTTGAATCTTCATAGCTACTATGACCTTCGGCACTACATTGTATGTCTCGTTTCAGAAATGATTTTGTTAAATTTTTTAGAGATCTACGATATGGATAACCGGTCGAGTGACCATATACCAGCGATGTATCAACAATAGTTTTATGCACTATCCGTAACACGCGTAAATCATTATCCAAACCATGTCCTATTAATATGGTGTCGGCATCAATTAAGTCAAGTAAATCCTGTTGAACTTGTGCAAAACTTTTCACTTCGTTATTTGAATGAGGGTTGAGATCTTTTGCGGTAATGCCCGAAAATCGAGTGTTATAATCAACTATTTCTGCTTGCGGTTGCACAAAATGCTCATAAACAAGTGTCCCATCATAACCGACAACGGTAACTTTAGTTACTTCTAAACCTAAGCCGGTATACGACATTTCGCAATCCATTGCGAATACTTTTGCCGATTGATTGCTATTTTTAACTTTAGGTTTAGTGTGTAAATAATTATCATATGGTCCGTTAATGCCCACAACAGTTCCGTTCCACACGTGTAATGGATGCTGAGAGCAACCTTCGGTACTCTCTTCCCCCTGGCAGCATGAATAGATACTTAAATAAGATATGCCGTTATATACATGGCTCGGTTTGCCCCAATGATAAGTACATGTATCTTGTGTTAGGTACACGCCCTTGTCCGTTACTTGAAACATTTTTTGGCAACGTACACATTGCTTTTCCACGGTATTTACATACTCGGAGAAAATTTGAAATACTCCATCGGGGGTATAAAATGCCATTATTGGTTCCATTGTATCATCTTCGGCTATTTCGCTTGACTCGGAATCGGAGGAACGCGGACTCGAATCGCCCGAACCACGTCCCGAATCGGCAGGTGCGCTCAGACTCCACTGTTGGGTGTTAGTATGAACTAAACCGTCATGGGCATTAATAACATTTGGCTTTTTACGGCCATAAAAATGACGGTGATGTCGTTGATTGTCTTTGGTTACGGCTTCTTCAGCCATATGTTTTGGCAAGCACTTGTATATTTCTATACAACCCTCGTGATGAACACTTTCGACGGGGAAACCGTAAACACGCAATAGCGAAGGATCAATAATGTAACGACGCAATTCGTGTATCAATTCTTGCTCGTTCATATTGAGTTTAAGAAATTGTTTTGACGGCGCCAAGGTATGCTGTGTTAAGGCGCGAGCTACTTTTTTCAAATTCTCTGTATTACGTTTAGTGACGGTAGGTGAAGCTGTAGGTGAACTATGGACAGAATGTTGTGGTGTACTGACTACCGAAGATGAAACTGAAGATGGTATTGAAGATGTGGAAGAAGCAGCCGATAATGTGCTGCATACCGAACTTTGAGATGTAGATGGAGCCAGATTGGTAGCGTTTACGAGGGTTTCCTTTTGATTTAAAATGCTCTTGGCGCCGTTAAAAACGGCCTTTAAAGCTGCGGTCTTTGTGCATTGTTTTCTCAAATTTGTTCCTGTTGTTGTTGTCGTTGTTACTAAACAATTAGTCTTAAACTGTTTAATAGGTTTTAGACCTTCTTTACTCTCTCCCTCTACATCGGCAGACGAAACATTTACATTTTGTTGCCGTGATTGAGGCTGTGGAGGGTGTTGTTGCTGTTGTTGGTGTTGATTTTCATTTTGTTGATGCTGCCGTTGTTGCTGTTGCTGCTTTTTACGTTTTTGTTGCCGTTTTTTGCGTGCTTTTCTAGATTTTTTACTATTCTTACTGCATCCCGAGTAAGTAGTACTTAAATCCTCATTAGATGAACTGGAATTGAGGTAAACACAGCTAGTAGAGTCGGTAGGCGTATTGTTACGATTTTTGTAATGATGGGAGGAGGGCATGATATTTTCTGAAAAAGAAATGATACGAAAAATACGATATAAATTTCACGCAAAACTCAAATTTAAATGTAACGAAAAGAGGAGGGTTAATGGGGCTAACGTTAATGGCCACTTAATGTTAGCAGCTTAAGCGGCGTTAAACATTTATTATTGTCAATTTTAAATTTTACTTGATTCAAAGATTTAAGAAGACGCCAAAAATGAACGTTAATCATTTATTTTATGTATTTAGCATATTCATAAAAAACTTGTGAAAATTGTTAAGTAACCAAACTGATGAACTAACCATGTTTTGAAATTACTTTGCGCGATTTATGTGCTAAGTTACACTTTTACGGCTTTAAATATAATTTAACATTTAGTTTACTTTTATTTATACATAACTATTTAAAATACTTTAATATATATATATATATATATATATATATATATATATATTTATATATACAGATGTGGGTGCGGGTGTGTATGTGTGTGCGTATGAGCGTATGAGCGTGTGTGTGTGTGTGTACAAAATATAAAATATTTAAATACCTCGAACATTTAAAAGGCATGCATAACGCTATAGCATATTTTTATAGTGCCATACTATATATGCACGTAAGGCGCGTTGAATGTTGTGTACAGAGTGCAGTATATGCCCGCATATTTATGTATCGTTATATATATATACCCGATATATATATATATATATATAAATGATTTCCTTATTACAAAATAATTATAAACAGCGCCGGCGACCACTTAGATGTATGTTATGCATTTGAACACAAAATTTCTATATATTTTATTATTTCAATTTTATACGCTCCTCTTCACACTTGTACGTATTTTTACAAAAATTAGAAAAAAAAAATTGCTTTTTTTTAAATTCCTCTACTTTATATTTCCTATTTATCTTAATTGCGTGTCTATAAATTTTATCATATCGTTTATATGTGCAGAGCTTAAATCCTTGATAGATAAAATATTTGCGAAAAAAGAAAAAAAAAGTTATCTTAAGAGCAATTTAGAAGAAGTAAACATCATAAGTTACTTTTAAAAAAAAAAAAAAACGATTTCATATAAAAAGACAAGCAAGTACTTTAATCCAACTGAAAAAGGAAAACGAAAACAAAAAAAAAAAAAAAAAACCGAAAAATACTTTTATAATGTATGTAGGATTACAATAATGGACTGATTTAATGTTTTTTCGTTCATATGTTCGTTTTCTAAAGACTGTAAAGACACTTCCTCTGCAGGCCACTTTTAGGCCCATTAATATATTTATTTTACTGAATTCATACTATAATTAGAGAGGTATATGCTGTATGTATATATATATATATGTTTGCCATTTGGGTTGGCTATCGGTGGTCTTCTAAAATCGAGTTCTCATATTTTCAACGAAAACGTTGAACATCCCTCGCTAAGGTAAGTTTTTAATAGTCGAAATTGGTTCGCACGTTCATTTCATAATCAAGCGAAAATTGTTCAAATTGATGGACTACTCCCAACGTAAGTATTGTTTTATATATAATAATATTTTTATTATGTCCTGTTTTTGCATTATAATGAGAAAAAAGGGAAAAATAATCCATCGTTCAAAAACTTATTGCAATGTTTTGGTAACGAAACTTGCAATATAGGTACGAGAAAATTCGATTTCAGTTAAACATATTTAATTTTATGCGTGTTAGACGAACGAATACATTGTGTGCAACAGAAATATTTGAAAGAATGTCTTTCGGATAGTTGGAGAACTGGGTCAGCTCAGCCTTAGAATACTAATATTTGAGAAGGTTATTAGAAGTATATTTGAGCTTTAAAGGAAGAATTACTTTGGACATATATTAGAAAATGGCAGCGCGAACGGACAAATGGATAGACGAACAGACGGACACGTTCGGTATTTATGGTAAACATTCTCCCATTAGCGAAAATTAAGATATCGTTTACAAATTTGAAAAAAGAATTTGAAAGTGATTGAAACTTTTCAAAACACGCCTATAACGCCCACAAAAACTTTTATTTTGCAAAAAAAAAAAAATCAAAATGAAGTGGGCGCTGCTGAAAATGTAGTTCTTTTACTTTTTTGTCGTTTTTAGGTGATGGGTATAAAAGATTCGAAGATTCCCGCGATCAACGGCTTGTTGGCCGCGTTTCTTATCTACTCAGCCACACGTGCGGACGGATAGGCTTACTTTCGCTATGAATATACTTAAAGCTGAAAATATTTTATACTGCTTACTTCATCTCTGCCTTATACTCTTTGCTATAACTTGATAGTTCGTTCGCTTGCTTAGCACCTTAAGCCTTGAAATGTAATATGTTAGCTTGGGCTTATAATGTTAATAGCGTATTGTTTAATTTGACTGAATGTAGACTGGATTGACAGAAGCGAAATGAATAGATGAATTAGAAGATACTCGCCAGCTTAAGCTTAAGGATTAGGAGTGAATAACCAGTTCGATAACGATAAGTAAGCAAGAAATCTGTTAACATTTTTCCTTTTTTTCAGTTATAAGATTAAAATTTAGCCTCATATCGCACAGCCATATTCATGGGTTGTTTGTTTGAAACAAAACACATATACAAAATAGGCAGATATGAAAAAACTCGCCCGAAATGGGCAAAAGCGACAGAACGCCTGAGAACATGAACATAATTCTCATCTCTTTCAATAAATTTTCGACTATCTATCCCCCCCCCATAATACTTTCAAGCAGTGGCTAATTTCTCTATAAATTAAACTATTTTAAATATTTAATTTCACTTTTAAACTCAAACTTTTAACGGTATTCTCCAAGTAATGGTATATTTATATAATTGCACACAAAAAAAAATTTTCAAAACCGACGGTAGTTTTTTTTCAATTTTTCCTTACATAAAATTGCCCCGATCGTTAATACTCATCAATTCAGTTTCGTACATACCTTTGAATTGAAAGCCGCGTGGGAATGTATTCACAAGATTGAAAGAAATTTTCACGTTTTTCAGAATTTTTCAATTTTATATATTGAACTTGAACGCACACTTTTGATCGACTTCGCTCTTCGAAAACTACAATTTAAATCTCTTCGTCTCGAGCAAGTCCGCGGTTTATAAACTTTCAAAACATGTAACACAAATACTTTTAGAATCTGTTTTTTTTTTTTTTTTTAGGTTTTTGTTAATCTATCTCTTAGGTGAGACATTTCCTTATCTATTTGTTACCAGCGAGTTTTTTTTACTACAAGCCAGGTATGCATAATGCGCCGGCGTACTTTCTATCGGAGTTTCCTAAATCGATTTATGATTCTTTTCTTTTTTTTTTTGTTTGCTAATATTTTGGAAAATTTTCTCTTTACCAGAATAAGACAATAAAGAACAAGCACGTCATGTAAAATTTCACCAAATATTGCTGATGATTTTCATACGAAATACATGCTAATCATGGTGGGAATCTGGCAAAGCATACTAAGACTTTCTGCAAAATACGTTAATGCTAATCTTTTCTTCTATCTGTAAATACATAACATACATGCATACCCAACCAACACGCATCAGGCATAACGACGATAAGAACTGGGTTATGTAAACAAGATTTAACGAAAGAAAATCGGAAAATTGAAAAACATGCGTAACAATAAAAAAAAAAAACTATTCACACACACATACTCGCAGGCAAACACCTAAGAATACAAACAATATTAAACAAGCAAAAAAAAAATATAAAAAAATACTTCATTAATATGACTACTGAGGTGATTTCGTTGCTTTTTTTTTTGGTTGTTTCATTTTAAACAAAAATTACGTGACAGTAACTAGTTAGTGTTTTTCTTTTTTTTTCTTGCTTCAGAGAGTTTAGCAATCATAAAAATTATTAACAATACCTGTACATAATTTTATTATTTTTTTGTTTATTAATAAAATGCGTACGAATGAGTGTGCACATATGTGTGCATAAGTAATCACGAACAATTATAAATATTAATATTTTTGAAGAAAAAATAATTGTACATATATATATATATTTATACTTATACATATATATATTACTTATATTAGGATTCATGAGCAATATATTGCGTGTAGGTGCAGTTCCACAGAGAATCTCTCTGTTTGCAATGGTTTTCCGCTTCTCTTAACTACGTAGAATCTTATAAATTCAATGAAAACCAGGCGTAAATTGATTAAAGCGATTTTAATTTCAAAGATCCTCATCGCGATTTATCGACCAAATTGAGCACTTATTCGATATTAAAGGTCTTACGACACTTGCAGACGAACACAAATATTCAATATATTTTTTCGAATCATATGAATTATTTTAATATTTTTAGTAAGAATTTCTGCATACACTCAATACATGTACATATCTACGGATGTATATACATAGATATACAGCAATTATCCATATATATGAAAACTAACATATATTATGTATATATATTTATATTGAGTCTACATATATATATATATGTACATAACATATATATATATATATATATTTTTTTTTTTTTTTCTTTACACAAAATGAAACTTGGTAACGAGGTCAACGGCAGCCATATTAGGTCGAAGTATAAATTTAAATGAAAACATAAATGTCTATACTTATAAATAAATCAATATATATAAGAGATGAAACCTAATTAGTGTAATCAAGCGTTTGTCATAAGAGGAAATGAGCAATCCAAATAAATTCCAAAGTTCTAGTGTTGGGAAGGGACGGTGGGTAGGTTGGAGTTGGGCTATCGTGTTATATACTAGGTTTTTTCATATTAACTTCCAACATGGCCCTACTAAAATCGTTTGTCCGCCTGTCTATCTGTCTACAATGGGTGCTTTTCAAAATATTATATACAATCGGTCATGTTAGAATCGTCTTTTCTCGTCCGTCTGTCCGTCGATAATTGGTGCTCTTCGGAATATTATATGCACTACTTCAAATCTCTTCTGAAGTGATGCACTAATATGTCCGTTTACCTTCAGAGATGAAGTTCGCTTTCTCTACTATGGACTATATACCCGATTGATTTGGAAATTC